GAAAATGCAAAGGAAATTTAGAATCCACATAACTAGACTTTTATGAAGAACAACAATAATAAAACAATCATTGCATTTTAGAAAAGCTCTCAACACCCTGAAACATATATACATATTACAGGATAAGTGTTAAATTATTAAATAAGCAAAATGATACAGTATCCTAGCAATAAGTATAGCATAAGACTCAGAAATAAAACTGCCTGACTTCAAATCCCAACTTTGTTTATTGTGTGTTAGTCACTCTGTCATGTCCAACTCTTTGTGACCCCATGGACTAGAGCCCGCCAGGCTCCTCTGTCCGTGAAATTTTCCAGGCAAGGATACTGAAGTAGGTTGCCTTTTCCTTCTCCAGGGGATCTTCCCAACCCAGGGATTGAACCCAGGTCTCCTGCATTGCAGGCGGATACTTTACCGACTGAGTTACTAAGTAGGGAAGCCTTGTTTATTAGTTAGGAATAATCTAGGAAAATAAATTAATTATTCATGTTTCCATTTCTCCATCTACCTATAAAATATAGATCATAATAAGAATTTATACCTGGAAGACTTGTTTTAAATATTAAAAGAGGCAAGCCCATCTCTACATAGAGTAAGCACTAAAAAAAGGCTTTTCCCCCTTTTCTCAATCTAAATAGAATTTGTCATACATTTCGCAAATAAGAATAAAGACCTCTAATTTTTAAAATTAGTATTAAAAGTCCTAAGTTCACTGGAGATCATAATTAACCTTCTACAAGGTGGGCACAAACCAAATGAACAGTTAGATAAAAGTCTAGAAAGCTTTCTTGTCAAGATGATTTTATCTCAGCTGTTTCAAAATAAAGAAGAAAAAAAGAATGAAACACAAGGATTCTTTCTTAAGAGATGTACAAAAAGAATTTAGAATTGCTGTATTAACAAAATTGATTGTTCTCAACAGCAAATTTACTGAGGAAAATGAAAGATTAACAGTAAAATACAAATATTTTAGTGTTTTTAGGATATTCAAAGTTAAAGTGTTGATGCCATTCAAAATTACCAGACCTGTTATGTATAAATTGCTATCCTCTATAAACAAAGAAATTTCAACTGCCTATGACTCGTCTGGCATTAGTTATACTCTAATCTAATACAGCTATTCAACTATCTTTGGGAATATTGTATTCTCTTCTCTCATAAAGAAATTAATACAAGTGACAAAACATAACCAAAAAATCAACAGTGTGGGAGGCTTTTTAATAAATTTCATTTTGGCAAATGATCACATATAAATTAGCAAACATTGAAATCATAATGATTTCATTTATTTGTTCTGTACATATCTGATTAACAGGCACTAATTTTGTTGATGGAAACAAGAGAACTCTATTGTTATATACAGATTAGAAATGTAAACACTTAGCATTTCCCACAACTACTGACTTCACAAATTACTCTGAATGTTATTTCAAATAACATTTTGAGTGCCAGAGATTAGGTAAGCAAAGAGCTCTACTGCCCCCTAATGAAATAAACCAAAAAAAAAAAAAAGCCAAAAAACTCAGAAAACTTGTTTTGAGCCATGTGTGGAACAGGAAAATAATCTTACTTTGCTAAATCAGTAGACAAACACTATGAAAATTAACTGAAAACGACTAGAATATATATCAACATACTATAAGAGAAAAGCTAGGATCATCCAGTTTCCATGATAAAATTAGTAGCAAAACAGGAAAGCCTTGAGACAGAAATGTTCTAAGAGAAAGGAGGTCAGTACAACAATGTTATCTAAAGTGATAGCAATTAAAACTTCACTGCAGGCTACCCTTTTCATGTGTATGTTGGAAGGGAAGGAGAAAAGAGAGATTCTTAGAAACCACACTTTACACTGAATTACAGTAAGTTTTCAGTTTAGCAGCTCAAAAGTAAATACTATCAAAATATTCTCTTACAATTTCAACTGACTCTAATCCTCTCCGAATTATTTTAATAATGTGTGCTTTCAAAATAACTACACTATAAAGCATACATATGAAACAATTTTACCCGTTTCCTGTTTTTAAAAAAATGACAATTTCTTAAGCACGACAACTTTGTCCTTCATGACACTCTGCATCATACACTAACCAGTGATAACTTTTACTCTTCCTTTTAATAAAAGTTCTCCCTTCCTTTAACCAATCTGGTTTTTAAAACACATTCCATACTCGTGTTCCTTTAACCTAATATTCTAACCTGTCTAGAATTTCCAAATTCTCATTTCAGAAGAGACCAAATGTTTGGGGGAAGAGGAGTATGTGTCCTTAATAACCAGAGTTATATAAAAATGAACATCAAGGAATTAGATATAACAAGAGTACAAAGAACAGACTGAGATGATAGAAACATGGAGAAAAAGTAAGGCCCCAGCATCAGTTCATGGAGGGCGCAGCGGTGTGGTCGTTCTCTGGCCCTTTAGGGATGGGGCACACATCCCATGGAGAGGGCGTGTTTCCATCCAGGTTGATCATAACTGTACATCCCATTACATGTCTACTGTTTACAAGGTGTAAGGAACAGGGGTAAAATCCATAAAACTGCCACAGGAGAGACAGGCAATACAGACAAAGAGGCTCACTTAAATCTGCAAAAAAAAAAGAAAATATCTTGTATACTTGTGTGCTGCCGTTCTCTTCCCAAGTGCCTGTTAACGAAAATGGTTCTCTAGCTGTACAAGTCACGCATGTGTGAGTGCTAAGTCACTTCAGTCGTGTCCGACTCTTTGTGACCTACGGACTGTAGCCCACCAGGCTCCATGGGACTCTCCAGGCAGGAATACTGGAGTGGGTTGCCATGCCTTCCTCCAGGGGATCTTCCTGACCCAGGGATCAAACCAGCATCTCTTAGGTCTCCTGCATTGGCAGGAGGCTTCTTTACAGCTTAGCCTAAGGGTAATCAAATGTCCGTTCAAAATTTTAAAACAGCAACAAACAGAAAAATACAAATGTGCTCAAGCCTCTGTCTCAAATGGGCTGGCTCTCACATATGTATGGATTTCCTCAACAATATGAATTAAAAACATGACTCTTTTACTTGAAGCATTACTCACTCATGCCTACTGCCTAAAAATATAACTGACACAGACACATTCTGAAGACATAACAAAGAAGCTGGGAAGACTCAAGCAACCCAAAGTCAAGCATCCCAAAGTCCATCACTGCCAACGTGATGATGCTTAAAGGATATCCAATAGAGGGGTCAAAAAGAGTACCCTTCCAACCTATAAATTCCACATAGCTACTCAGATCTCACATACAAGAGTCATGAGAAATAAAGTGAAGGTACACTGGAGAACATATACATGTGTGTGAGAATGTATAGGTGTGTTTTCCCTTATGGAGCAGTCCCAGTCCATACCAGTGAGCTCCAGATTATTACCCTAAACCTAAAGGAATGTTTTCCTTAGTTCACAGGGGAAAAAAAAAATAAAGGACTTTCCAGGCTATCCTTTACCTCCCTATGCCCACTAAGCATACATATGAAAAACACAATCAAGAAATAAAAGGGAGAAAGATTGAAAGAAAAGAGGAAAGGCTAATTTCCTTAAGAAATAAAGTTGGTAACAGTTTTGGTTTAAAACAAAGAGCTTTATTTATTCATTAGCCCAAAAAAACATTTAGTGATGATGATGATGAAGATGGCAGCAGCCAGCATTTATAGAGCATGATGTACTTCACAATGAGTATTTGATCTTCCTTAGAGCCCTGTGAGGCAGATAATACTATTCCTATTTTACAGATGAAGAAACTGAAAATCATAAGGATTAAGTAACTTGCCCGAGGTTAGACAGCTACTAAATTGCAGAGCATATTTAATATACCAGTCAATTCAACACTTAATTGTTACGTTTATGTTATTTTCTGGTGAAAATGTGTGAAATGAAATGACTCTTTGGAAACATTGTAATAAATTAACAGATTTTATGTATCTATGTGCGTGTGTTGTGTGTTAAAATCCAACTCAAATGCCTCAAAATTCTGTAGGCATGTAACTAGAGATAGGCACTTAAACGCCAGTTCTTATGAAAGACAGAAACATACAATCCATAATAGTGGGTTGGCCAAAAAGTTCATTTGGGAAAATCCATACAAAGTTTCTGGGCAACCCAATAAATAGTGAAAGTGCTAACAAATAAGTAATAATATACACACCTTTCAATGACCATTATTTCAATAAATAATATTTCATTATTCTCCGATCACATACAGTCATGATAATCTCTTCTTCTTCAGATCTTCCTCACTCATTCTCACCTCTACTTCACTTGTCTTACAATGAACATTTTCATTTATTTGAGGAAAAAAGATCACTCCCTTTTCTCGCTATTAAGGATACTCAATTATAGTAAAAAAATATATGTATGTAAAAAATAGCTCTGGTTGACATGTGAAATATACATTTCTTTAAATGCTATAATAATAAAAACTATTCCATAGCAACTCTTTAACCTCTGATAACATGTTCAAGTTTTCTGAAATTAATACTAAGGAAGAAATCACCATGCAGTATCACCAAAATTCTATTTCGTAAGAGCTGAGATTTAAACATACCCACAAACATACTATACATACACAAACACAATTCAGGTCACCTTCATATTCCAGGCATTCGCTGGACAACAATATTCCCTCTGCCATATGTATGCAGGTTAAAACACAAAACACCCAGAAATGTTCACAAATACCTAAAACATTAAAATTGTAATTTTATTATGACTACCACCAATTTTTTCCCATTGCAGAATTCAAAAGAATATGTTATAACATGTTCTTGCAAGAACGCCATCTTGTAAGAGAATCTGGTTTCTCAAATAAAAAAAGTGAAGTGTAAATCTGACATCAAAACTTGTACAAATAAAGATCTGTCATGTTGTTAATCCTTGTCTAATTTTAATCAAATTATTTCTAAATTTTCAATCCAGAGAGCAAAGACCCTGCCGACAATAAAGTACAAGTCGTAGGAAACAAAATACATCATTTCAATGGGATACTCCTTCTCACCTTCGAATCTTCATTGCTCACTCCGAGCTGCAGCACAGCTTGAGGAGATTTTAGTTTTGCTTCGGCAGAGTGAGCCATCTGAAGGTTAAGCTGCCATCCGACCGTCTCGAGCTACAAAAGACAAGTGTAGACTGGAATCAGATGGTACAGGAGGAAGAAAACACTCAACTTTAAGCAAATCTCCAAGTCAGCAGGAATGAACATGGATAGCCTGGACTTTGTGGAAAGTCAGTTCCTGGGCTCCTTCAACCTGCACACTCTGAACATTCTCCCTTTGGGCTCATTAGACTGGCCTCATGCCATGCCTGTCGAATTCAAGCATAAAACTGGTCTTTAAATACACTCTGTTCTAAAAATAAAAGTTCTGAGAGGAGGCAATGAACTACACTAAAGGAGTCAATGGTTTTTCAACAATAAATTACTATTTTAAAACAGTGTATTTTAAAGCCAATGGTTTTTAAATAGTTATAAATTGTAACTAGTAAATAGCATATATATGTGATAACTACTCTAAATGACCTCCCATTATCTTTCAAAACTCTTTGCAATAAGTAGAACAAGGTAAAACTTTTTTTTTTTTAATTTAGTGGAAAACCGAAGTGCCCAGATGGTAAGAGGTTCACACATTTAGACACAGTTAGCGAGACTGGAAGAGCGCCAGACAAAGAATTGATATCTACTTACTAGCGAGCAGGTGTTATCATGCTTTCCAAAGTATTCTAACCTACTATGGTTCCCAGTTATGACAGAAACTAATTAGAATACTTCCTTTGAATTTATTAATTAGCACAACAGCAAGATTTAATCAGGAAGGCAAAGACAGCAGACACTAAAGCAGTTCAAGTTTCAAAATATTAAGCAACATAAATGCAGCTTTACTGAACATGACAGATTACTGATTTTTCCAACCTCAAAACCATAAGTATGAAGTTTTAAATCTAATTTCCAGCAAATCCAAAGTTATCAATATTTAGGGAAGTTTTATGACATGCAACTGTCATATACCTCTGACAACTCGACTCTAGTAACTGATTTACTGAAACTACCTCAGCTACACTGGTAAGAATGGCAGACTCAAAACAATTTTTACTTAACTGGAATACTAATTGCTAACTTGAAAGACTGTTCAACAGCTAGAATCACAGCAATGACTCAAAGCCAAATTGGAAAGAGAGCAATGAAAGTATTATCTATTCGAGAGAGGATGTGATGAGAAAATAAAGATACAGTTCTGCTCTTCCTGGCACTGAACCTTTAAGAGGTTATGGGTAAAAAGAGCGAAGATGTTGCAGAGACATAATCCATAATACCACAAGTAAAAAAATCAATATAATGGTACACATGAAGCAAGGATCCGTAATGTACTGATTTTTAATACTAATTATAGTAAAACAGTCTCTAACACCAGCTCACTACTATTTTCAACAGTCCACGGAGTCCACAAAGACTCAGATACGACCTAGAAGACTGAACAACAATTATTTTCAACAGTTACAGCAATAGATCCTCCAACATAACAGGAAAACACATGTCACAACTACTCTCATATATCCAAGCATTTTGATACACAGTCTTAATTGAAAAACACCCTCTAGGTATTCATACGAATCTACAAGACACTGTTTTGATCTCAGTTAACTAATCCTATACTTATCCTTTAAGCACTTAAGATAAACGACAAAGATAAATATTAGGTAAATAAATTAAAATAAGGTCCCACTACGGTCAGGCCTTTGAACAAATGAATGTATACTTAGTCACTGCATAGAGGTGGAATGGGGCAATTAAGATCACTGAACTTAAAGCTTATGCTTTAGTTCATACTTAAGCCACTACTCACTACCTAGGTGGCCCTAATAATTAAGTCACAATCTTTCAAGATCTCAATTTCCTCATAGGAAGTGGAAATAAATCTATCTGACTTATCTGCTTTTTTCCTGAGTTATTGGCAATATTAAATAAGAAAATGCATATTCAAACCGTTTTGGGAACTCCAAAGCATTATAAACATAAGGCATTTTGATTACCTAATTTTTCCTATACTATTTTTTAACAGTATCTTTTAAACAGAGTAGGCACTCTATATGCTGAATTGAATTGAAGCAAATAAAAAAATACAAGCAAAGGTAACTTTAAAAACATCATAACAAAAAACATTGTTGACTGACTTTCTTAAATTTTAGAGCCTTTTCTATTGTTTTGTGATTTAGAAACATTCACCCCATTCCCACAAGAAACAGTAACTTAAAAAGTTTAAAAAAAAAAATGTAATTGTTGTTCAGCTGTTAAGCCTCTCATATGTAGGCATATGCACATACACACACCCATACATAAAATTTCATATTAAAAGAGCACTATCCAGAAACCTCAAATGAAGAGGGAATAAAGGAGAGCCACAATTTTTTTTTAAATATTTTACAGTTACACAGCAATAAGAAAAACAAACCTAAGAAAATCTTTCCAGTGAAACTAGGAGACAATAGCAGCACTACTCTTATTATCCCCATTTTACAGATAAAATATGTAAAAGTAAACAACTGGTGAAGAGAAGAGCATACGGAGGCTCCTTATGCTTGTTACTATTGCCACTTTTCTCTAAATCGGAAATTATATCAAAATCAAAAGTTACAAAAATAAACTGTAGTAAAAATCATCAATGGATACTAAATTTAAGTGGAGAAGGTCTGATATGAAATGAATAGTCACAAAGCTTCTTGCCCACAATTGCTTTTTAGGTACAAAAGAAAAAAATAATTATGCAGTAGAAAAAAAAGCAAAACACCTTAACCAAGAGATCAAAATTAACATCACCAAGCAGTGGCAAACAGACAAGATGTGCCTCCAGGTACAATATCCTGCAAGTACCATTCACAAAAATGTTTAGCGAAATTATAACTAAATTTGATCCTGAAGAAACTTAACATAAAATATAAAGATAGACATAAGAGGAATGTACACTTGAAAAACATCAATGTCCTAAAAGACAAAGACAAGTTGAAGAAAGAAGGAATTCCTTAAAGTGGTTAGAACATATATTATTTTCTGAGTCTGTAATAGACACTGGTGATATAAATATGAATAAAACAAAAGTCTTTTACCAAGGTGAAGATGTTATAGTATACTCTAATTATTCCTCTGAGACTCCTAACTAAGAAACAAATATGAAAGTCATCAACATTTTAATTACATAGGAAACAAAATCTAGATTGAATTTTTACTTAAGTTAGCTAAACTACATTGCTTCTATTTAAAAGAAAATTCTGTATTGTGTATATCAAACATTGTACATTAAAATACCAGGAATCATTTGAATAGCTATCTCACATCCAAATTTAAATCTGAGGGTCTTTATACCTTAATCAACATTCTACATTTAAATGTCACCAACACAACATAAAACACAAGGAGAATGAGCCACTAATATTTTTAATGTTTTCTAACCCATGCCAAAGCTGTTTAAATGATAGTTCTTAGGCATCTCACTTACATTACTTATTATCTGACAATGTCACTAAGATGTCAGTTCAAAACAGGTACAAAGACTTCATTCTCCCTCTAACATCCAGGTAACAACTCCAAGCTTAACTTCTCGTAATTGCTTTGTAAATCACAATTCCAAGTACATGCAAAATCAGTCAAAATTACAATAATATTAACTCTCTTAAAATGAAAATGTAATGTTAATCACCATACTTAAACTACTGGCTCCCTATAATAGTAGCTTCTGCTTGGATCATATCACATAGTAAGAAATACTTTTTTATGTTGCAAATTTATATAAATATACAAAAGTGTCACAAGAAAATTTTTCACCCAGAGCAATGATACATAAATTCTGTTAAGTTTCACTCTTAAAATACTAATTCAAAAACCCTCCAAATTGATTTCATTACCCACTAAACCTCTAACAGCTCAGGCTATCTACAGTAGGAAAAATACTGCTCAGAAATACTGAATGAGTTTTAGGAATTATGTGTGTGTGTGTATTCATGAAACAATTACTGTTTACTATAATCAATCATGAAAACACATAAAAACAGAACTCTAACTGCTAAAAGAGAAAGCACTATCTATATTCTGTTGCTATAATCCACCATTTATTTTATAACTAGCAAATACTACAAGCAGAAATTCCATTATAATATATATATGGCTTATTACAGAAACTATACATTATTATTTACTCTTATGAAATGTAAAACCTGGAAGTTGACTAAACATTTAATACAAGAAGAACATGAACCTATTTTTAAAGCTTAGCTAAATACTATTCCCCAATTTCCTTGACCACTTCTCTCAACCTTAGTGATTTCTTCCTATACAATCTACTGACTAGTTATAGGAAATTCCCCACTTAAAAAAAATTCTAGTTGGTTTATTCTGTGTTTTCTAAAACTATACACATAGAATGAAGCATGAAATAAGAACTTTTTCTAAATCTTTCATACAGGGGAGAAGGGCATTTTTCAGTTCAATGTAATCTGCTTAATAAGGTTAGCTTTTAGACACATTTCTCATTATAAACCTGTATCACCAAGAAAGCAATACCTGCTGGGAAAATCAATTTATGAATGTATAAGAGGTCATACTTATGATCCCTCAATAATGGAATGTGTATATGAATGTGTATATAATTCTTTAAAATAATAGATTCAGAGTAATTTTACATTTGTCTAAAATAGAGAAGTTTCTAGTATTTCCATTACAATCAATAAGAGATTTATTTTCTTCAGCAATATATGTACCTACAGAGTCTGCCAAAGGACAGAAGATGACAGGATCAATTTAGAAGTACATTTTATTGGAAACATCCTATTAATATAAACCAGTGAACAATAGGGGCACTGACGTTTATACCTCAAATTTTACCTTTTTCCTTCAAAAGAAAATGCTGTAGAAGAAATGAAGGGTATTTATAATCCACTCAAATAGGTCCATTAATCAAATCAGGAAATTTTTAAACAACTGTCACTAGGAGGCCCTCCAAGAGATGCCAAGTTTTACTCCTCATCTTTAAGCTGGCAATGCCCAATTTACAAAGTCATATTCCAAAAAAAAAAACTATTTGTTTGGAACTTAGAACAAATTTGCAAATATAATGAAATTGTTAA